GTATTGAGAGATGCAATTACAGACCAAATGGTTTGAAAGTCCCTTAGGGTATGAATTTAAACTATGTGTTGTATATATTCATTTACTTTCTATATTTTAACAGTGATAATATGTTTTATATAGGAAATTATTATCTAATTGATACAAGGATACACAAATTGTAAAGCTTCCTTACCCTATACAGAGGACAACGGTATCATCTAAGTGAGTGGCGTAATGATAGACATCTAGAATCTCTACGAGAGTGTTTTAACATGCGAAATTCATTAATTAGGAATGTCATTGAACAAGCATCTGGGATCTTAAAGATATATTGGGCAATATTAAGGAGTGCATCATACTATCCCATTCGGACTCAAAATTGATATATAATTACTTGTTGTCTATTGCATAATTGACTGAATTTGATTCAATAGATCAATAAAATTCCCAAGAAGACAATCATATGGCTAATTCCATATCAACCATGGAATCATCAAATGCTTGGAGTGCTTTCTGAGAGAATATGGCTAATGAAATGTTTAATGCTTTTAGAGCTTGTAGGACTAATAGATAACGTTTGTAAATTATTGACTAAATTGGACCAATATTTTTCATGTTTGAATATGTGTCTGTTTGACTTTTTAATTGTATTGGTTATTATGATTTTGATAGACTTAAGGGGTGTTTGGATGAAACCAAACCATAGTTTAGAGAATAAATTCTGATAACAATAGATTTTGTGAAAAAGTGATTCTAAGAAGTGAGAGTGTTTGGATAGTTATTATCAGAAGCACTTTTTTTATGGGTAAATTACTAAAAAGGACATAAGTTAATATGATAATTACATAAAAGATAGGTTTTATAATATATTTTAATTTGAAGGAATAAAATTGTTAATAACATAGTTTTTTACCAACATAATTAATAATATATAAGATAATATAATTAATAAATAATTAATATGTGTATATATATTTTAAATTATAAGATTAAATATGTTTACAGAAAAATGATTATTTTTTCTAATAGAAAAATATTAATTTGCTTTGAAGATTTTAAACATGAAATTCTATAACATTTTTTCACAACTAGTTTTTATAACAACATACTACCTCTCATCTTTAATATAATTAATTAATTATTACTACATGTGTAAAAATATTTATAAAATATAAGATTAAAAATATTGTTGAAAAAGATGAATAATTTTTTGTAAACAGAAAAAAATAAAAAAGGGTACAATGTAACAATGTACTACCTCTTTCTGGTAAAAAAAAAAAAAAAACACACACACACACACACACTACCTCTTTAAACAGTGAAGGATTGAAGGCGAAAGATTCAAGCTTGAGGGGTATATGTGTCTGGTTAAAAAAAAAAAAGATCCTCATATCCGTATGACACTCTCTAATTTTCTTCCAAAAGCAAATTTTTTATGCTTCTAAAATCATGGTTCTTGGGTCAAAACCATGACCATGGTTTTGATTTCTTATGGGTGTTTGGGTCATTTTTTTTCCCAAACCATGGTTTGAGGAGATACCTAAACACACCCTTGTATTATTATATCTTTTCATGACTTGTATTCTATAATTTATTATTTTTCATAATTTTAAATTTTATATGATTCTTATTGCTTTTTCTTTACATCATATACATAGAATGGAAACATAGAAAGACAACAAGAAAGGAAGTAAGCATGTGTGGACTACTCAAGAAGATAGCATTCTGGTTGAATGCTTGGTCCAACTAAAAACCAACAAAAAATTTGTCACAGATACAGGATTCAATGTGAGGTATTTGAAATAGCTAGAGGACATGCTAGAGGTGAAGCTTTAAGGTTGTGGCTTAAAAGCTAGCCCTCATATTATATCCAGGTTGAGGACCTTCAAGAAGCAATAGTAGATTGTACATGATACGATGCATAACAAAAATACTTTTGGCTTTGGATGGGATCCTAACAAGAAGTGTGTGACGGTTAAAGAAAACGTATGGGCTAAATATGTGAAAGTAATTGTGCGTTATATCTTATCATCATTATTATTATTGTTAATGTATACTAATAATAATTAATATATGCTAACGATAATACTTACATTGCATCATTGTGCTTATTTTTCATTTTCAGGTTAAGAAAGAAGCTGGAAATTTCAAGAATAGGTGCTTACCCTACTTTGAAGAGCTATTATATGTTCGGGCTAAGGATCGTGTAGTAGAGCAGAGATGCCTACATCTCTTGGTGAGCATGTCGAAGAAGATTCTAGAATTGAAGTTGAAGTTAATGTTGAACAAGTATTCAATAAAGATACAAATTTCGCTATGTCTAAGTAACAACCTTTGTAGCCAATTGATGTCAATTTATTAGCAAAATGAAAGCGAAGGAGTAGTTGCGATGCTATAGTGTTGCTTGCTGATGCTTTGAAGGAATCTTCCTCCAACACACTAATGAAGTTTGCTGGCAATTTATACAAAGAATTTGCAAAAATTCGAAAGGATTCAAGAAGCTTTGGTCCTGTGATGTGGATAGAGCAAAGGAAGTTACGAAGGCAAATTATGAGAATACAAGATCTCACATGGGGTGAGATTAACAAGGCTCATGCTAAGATTACAGAGTCATTATCACTAGGATTGGATTCTCATTAGTCCCTGAAAACGAGACACATTTTGATTCTTTTTAAATTTAAATTGATGAGGACATGATTTAACTTATTTGTTCTTATATATAAATTTATGTATTTACTTATTGGCTCAATTTCATATTTATTTAAAAATTATTCTTCTGATTATAATATAGTCATAATATATATGTATATATAAATATATGTAGGGATAATTAATTCACAGCTCCTTATAGTTTTAACTAATTTTGAATCATGTCCTTATAGTTTTTTTCTTTTTATCAGGTCCTTATACTTTCACCTGTTTTTAATTAGGTCCTTGTATTTATTTTTCTTTTTATCAAATCCTTATAATTTGACCTTATTTTTAACTAAGTCTCTGAATTTTTTATTCTTTATTTTATTAATTCTAATAGTACTATTATATAAACATAAAATAGTATATATTATTTAATATTAGTTTATAAACAATAATATTCTAAAGATATTGAATTATTATAATGATTTTAATTTTTTCAGCAAAAAAATTAATTGTTCTAAAATTTTTTCCTGAATTAATTAATTTTATTACTTTTTTATTACATAATTATTAATTTAATTTAATTATTAATATTTTATATTTCAGTATTAATCTATTTAATTAAGTTTATATTTAATTAATAAATAAAAATTAAAACTACATGAACCTGATTAAAAATTTAGTGAAATTATAAGGACTTAATTAAAAGAAAAATAAATATAAGGACCTAATTAAAAAAAGATAAAAGTATAAGGATCTGATAAAAAGAACAAAAACTATAGGAACCTGATTCAAAATTCGTTGAAACTATAAGGACTTGCGGATTAATTAACCCTTGTATGTATGTACGAATATGTGCGTATGAGTATTAAATTTCCTATTAATATTTCTAATATACTATCTCTCACACCACTTATTATTTTTCCACTCGTTATCAATAACTCCATGGGAGAGATTATTCCTTCTTAAAAATAAGCTTTTACTAATAATTGATCTTTGCAATATAAATTTAAACTTACATTTTACTTTAATTTATTATATATAAAAAAGTATACTTTAATTTATTATATATACATATGGATCGGGGCAGTTTTATCTATTATTTTACAATTATATACGTGGATAGGGTTAGCGTGTATATTGGGTGGAAAAAAACAAATTTTAATTCAGTAATATAAAAGGATAATTTTGTTTTTTGATATATTATTTTCACCTATTCTCTTGTTCTTTGTAATCTAACTAAATATTTTTCTGTCTATGCATTATTTTTTTTTTAATGGTATACCGACAAACTCATATAATCATCATTACATTACTTTTTATTACATTACATTATATTTCATTACATTTTCTACTAGTAGTACGATTACTACTAAATTCTTACAAATTCCAGTAAGGATTGTACCATATTTTCCTTATTTACACTTGTGTTGTAATTTTTCTTTGTTTTTTTTTTGTTGTTGAAGGAGATGTTGGACAGTTAGCTTGGGATGGGATTGATCAATTTTTAATATATTAGGGGGAAAATTGATTATTAGATGTTTTAGAGTGCTAAATGCCAGATACACCTTGAAAAATATTTTAGTGTGCTGACTTAGGCCCTTGTAATTATCCTATTTCACATAGTAATTAAATGCTCATAACCTAATATTTAGCACTTTATCAATTTTTTTAATCAAGTGGTTTGTTGAAATTCATATTATCACAATTTTTTAAGGGATTCAAAATTTAAGAATTTTTATCTATGGGAATTTATTAGATGCTAATTTAATTAAGGAGCTTTTCTCTAGTTCAAATTTATTCTGGTTAAAAATTTAATATTGTATTAATTTTTTATTTTTATATTTTAGAAGTGAATTATTTTATTTGTTAATTTTAATTTTATTTTAATACCATGATCCTTAATATAAAAATTAGTTGATTACTTTGAGTAGATTAAAAAAGTTAGTTATTCGTAAAAAATAGATATTGTATTCTCTAAAATACCCTTGCTAATTATATACATTAGATAGAACTATGATTTGATAAAATATTTAATATATGCAACTACTATAAAGATTATTTTCAAAAAATAGATCAATATAACAGACAAAATGGATGAGTTTTTTTTTTTATTTAGGCCCAAATTAAGAATAAAACTTGCTTTTATATTAAGGATTAGATGCAGTATTAATACTTTTTTTTTTTGGGAATAGATGCAGTATTAATACTTTAATAAAATATAAAAAATTATAAAAATTAAAATGCGTATTTTTTTTAAAAAATTAAACACCTCGTGGCGCCTTACAATATGACGAACTTCGCGGTGCCCTCCTCCGGAGTTCAAATTCTTATCACGCAAGATCCCACTCCTTCGGTCCTCCCTCTTTCATCCCCCCTCTCTCTCATCATGTATACCAGTCTGGCACCAAAACAAAATACACTCACTGGAATAACAGATTCTTCGCTAACCTGACGCGCTATTTCTCTCTCCCCCACGTTTGCTGGCAAATCTCACGCCCCACCTCAGAATTCATCTCCACCGCTCTTCTCTCTCTTATATCCCACCTCCCGCCTTTCCATCCCCCCAACAGTAGCAAATTTCACGGCTACTCTCCGGCGGCCAGGTCTCCCGTATCTGGCCATCGTACGTAGACCCGCCATATCGTCGCCGTGATCTGTCTCCACTTGCCTTGCGGTTCTTTTCAGGTTGGTATTCATTATTCTTGTATTACAAGAGTCTCCGATGTTTCTATGGATTTTCGGGCACGCGAAGGCTTGTTTGGTTCTCGTAGCAGGATGAGTTGGAATCATCATGAGATTTCATCGTTGTTATTTGTGTTCTTTTTGTTCTGGTCGTATCTTGATCAATGCTTATATGCGGACAATGACTTGTTACGCCTACTTGCCGCGTCCTTAGGCGGTTTTCAGGAAATTGGTTATCTTCTTATTTAACTCATTTCACTTTTAATTGGATTAAGAAGAAATTATATCAAAAAGGAAGTCGCGAATGATGAGGATAGGAGTCCTCCTTTGGTAAAAGACCAAAACTTAAAAATAGAACAAGAAACTTAAACATGCGGCGAAGCTGTATAATCCCTCTTCATATCTATCAGTGTGACACTCCCATAAAATATTCCTGAACTGAAGACCCTTGCAAAGCAATAAACATTGTAGTAGACCACTCCTACCAAATAATTTCACAAGAGAATCGCCCAAAATTTATACCTTGCTTTGTCAGTACAAAACCTCTGAACCAAATGCGAAGAAATGGCTCTAGATGCTGCTGACACGCCTGTTCTCACGACAGGCAAATAAGACTCTGTTACACAAAGAAGCAGTCATTCTTCAAAATGCTATCCAGTTTCTCCACTACTCGTGCACACAGTACAAAAATGGATTATGTTTAAGCGCATTTCATTATGTCTTTATTATGAAGTTTCCAATACAAACTATGTGAAAAAGGAATTTGGAAACCTAATCATTTGATACTGGGTAATAAAGAAATCTACCTTTTATGTTTTTATTGGGGAGCTTAATATCAAAAATATAAATTATATCCAAGTTTTCTCTGGTGGGAAATAAAGTTGCATGCCGTCTTGTGAGTAGAAGGCTGTAGGTTTGATCCCACTTATAACTTTAGGCCGTGTTTGCTCCTCCAAATTCAAAAAGGCTGTGTGTGGTCTATGGATCTTCAATACGTTATTTGGGTTAGTTCTATTAAGTTTTGCTCTCTAAATTAAATAGTTGACTTCTGAGGTAGTCTTAAAATTCCAAAGAGGCTTTTCAAGAAGAAAAATTTCCTATTTTAAGAGAATATAAGAATGAAAATAGGATTTACAAGCATGTGCAACTTAAATTATGTGGACTCCAAACTGTCCTATGCTTAGTTTTGTCAGTGAGAGGGGGAAAAGAGTTTCTAGTTCATTGACGTCTTTATCAGTTGCATCCCTTATATAAAATGAAAATTGCATGAATGCATTTTCCCCAGCATTTGAATCTGTGCCTAAGCAGTTCACCATCAAGCAAGGAACCACAAAGGCCCAAAGTCAGCTGTTAAGCATGCATTTTCCGCTGAACTGAACTGAAGTGTCAAACCGGGCTGATCTGCACAGAGGCTATTTCCCATCCACATATCCTCCTAAAACCTGATATCTGATATCACAACCATCACCAGTCTTCAGAGAGACTGGAGAACCAATAGAACTATATCCCTGAGAAATAAACTTCCAAGGAATAATGAGAGTAGCAGTAATCATTGGGTTGGGATGTGACTAATTTTGATTCAGACCGCTGTTTCTTCAAATTACCTCCTGCCATAAGGAAGTTGATTATGGAGTAAAACACCATGACCATATGCTTTTGAAAACAATTCTTTCAGACACCAAATTACCAAGGCCCAATACCCCCTTGATTATAAATTTATCTGTTCTCTTGAATAACAAGATGATTCATTCCGAATTCTCTCACACCAGAATCAAGACAATCCTTCTTAATCTAGTCCAATTGTCCAGAAACTTTTACGAGAATTTGAATGAGTGATAGATAATAAAGTCTTATACTACTAGCCAAATGAGGAAAGGGGGTGTTTCCGATTATTGACTAATTAAGTGCTTAGTTAACTTAAGAATCAGAGTACACACAAAGGAGTCAACTCATGGATTAACTCCAAGGCAAATCTTAAGCAAGGTGGTACTGATCTCATTTTTATTCAGTTGAAAAGCTAAATATGTGCAAAGAAGAAATTTAATCTTCTTTATATCTTTTGGCTTTTACAAACATGTGAAGCTAGAGGGAAATAATAGAAAACTGAGTTTCTTATCATTTTTATTGCTGAACTAGTTTCAAGATTTTCTGTTTTACATTGTTATAGTTGATTTTTAATTTTGCTGCTGACTTTGAAAGAAACAGGAAACACTTATGCTGACTTCTCCCATCCCCTCCCTGGCCCCTTTCACATCCTTCTCTTTCATGTATCACGTTCCTTAACTCTATGCATGTTTGTATGTTAGCATTTTAAAATTCAGCAGCTTCAAGTTAACTGCTTCTCTTTTATTATTCCTTTTCATCCCGTTCTTGTGATTTTTCCTGGGTAGGAGGATATTTAGAGGGACAGTCATTGGGGCAGAGGGGGAGTGACTGTTTCCCTGCTCCATAAGTTGGTGATTGTGACCTAGCATCTCTTGGATGTAATTTTGATGAGTTCACGGATTGTAGCAATATCACTAATATCCTTTTTTTAGGGCTTTTATCCCCACACTTTTCTTCTTCTGGAAGTCTTGTATGAAGGGAGCCTGATAGGTTCAGCAACTCCTTGCCTCTACTTGAAGTTGTGAAGTCTTGGTGATGGGCGTTACAGAAAGTCCTGTACATGACAAAGCAGATTATCTTCCAGGCGAAGCAAAGGATATTTTAAAATCATTGGCCAGTAAATGGGATGATGTTCTTGATGCCAATGAATTGCAGGTCATTCCTCTTAAGGGGGCCATGACAAATGAGGTATTCCAGATAAAATGGCCAACAAAGACACAAGAAGCCTCACGAAAAGTTCTAGTAAGAATTTATGGTGAGGGTGTGGACATTTTCCTTGACAGGAATGATGAGATTAGGACATTTGAATGTATGTCTAAGCATGGGCAGGGGCCTCGTCTGCTAGGACGGTTTGCTAATGGTCGTGTTGAAGAGTTTATCCATGCACGGGTAATATAATTTGCTTTTGTTAATATCTTAATGTTGATGTTGTTTATACTTCCATTGACACTTGAGCAACTTGGTATTTGAAGATTCATGAGTGACAACTATAGAATGAATGCAGCATAAAATTGACATAATTAGTGAGAGGATCAAAGGCAGGTCTTCTGCATTGTGAATCACAAGCAAAATTTAGGCTCTGCCTTTACCCGTCTAGCATTACTGCAATTTTAAACTTCTTATGGTCACACCCATCCTCAAATGAGAATAATCTCTTTTATTCCTATGTGAATTCATCAGACATTATCAGCATCTGATCTGCATGATTCCAATATCTCTTCTCTTATAGCGGCCAAAATGAAGGAGTTTCATGACCTTGACATGCCTGGTACAAAAAAAGTCCACCTCTGGGACAGATTACGGTATGTGCTTTTTAACACCTATCCCAACTCCGTGTCCAAAAAGTAAGAGTGAAAAGTTCATTTTAGGAATTAGTTTCATGTCTGTTTTAAAATAGGCTTTTTCTACATCCATATTTTAATACAGTTTCTCAAACAATTATTATCTTAATTCTTCAGGAACTGGCTTGGTGAGGCCAAGCGTCTGTGTTGCCCTAAAGAGGTTGAAGCCTTTTATTTGGATACAATTGAAAAGGAAATATCTATGTTGGAAAAGGAGCTTTCAAGTGCTCACCAACGGATTGGGTTTTGCCACAATGATTTACAATATGGTAACATAATGATTGATGAAGAGACCAATTCTTTGACCATAATAGTGAGTTTTTCTTTTTACTAATTAGTGAATTTATGCTTGCTATCACCAATGAGGAGAAATAAACTATTTTAATTTTTCTTGATGGATCTTTCCTGAAGAAATAGTTAGTTCTACTTCTATCTCAGACATGTCAAGTAAGACCTTCTAGAAAGAAGTATTGTTTCTTATACATGGATCCTGCCCCTCATGACTTGTATTGCACTGATCTGTTTCCAATTAACTGAACTTTTTTGAAATACATGGAAGATTACCCTCTTGCAAAACCAAGTAAGAAGGATTTGGACGATGTTTAAGAGGCTTTTGAGACCCAGCACCTTTCTTCCTTAAAAAAAATAGAAATTTGATAAAGAAAGATGGAAAGAGCAAGAGAAGAAACCTAATTATTATCCTGGCACACCGGTCTATTAGATGTGGGAGTTAGACTTTTGAGTTGTCTCAATTGTAGCTTGGTAAACTTTGTTGTTTCTTTTCTTGTTGAGATTTGATCCTACATTTCAGAGTTGAATTAAAATTTTAAAAATAAAGGAAACCATGGGGGATAAGAAACTTTTTTTTTTCTTGATGTATGACTTTGATATACTTTGATAAGAGGATGCAAATGGCAATTTATACATCAATCTAGGACTTGAGGTAAAATACAAACATTTTTTGCCACGTGTTACCACAAGGATTTGTGTGTGCATATGTATATGTTTTTAATAATGTAGCAGAAAATATATATTTTTTCCTGTAAAGCTTTCATTCTTACCTATGTGGTTGATCAATCTTTACTGAGTTTTTCATTTGCAAAAATTCTTGTTCTGAGGGATTGATAGGTCATAAAAATCATTTATAATTCTAATGCGTCTCCTTTTTGTAACAGGATTATGAATATGCAAGTTATAATCCTGTTGCGTATGACATAGCAAATCACTTTTGTGAGATGGCTGCCAACTATCATACAGAAACACCTCATATTTTAGACTTCACTAAATATCCTGGTATGTGTATTTTTCGTTCTAATTTCAGATTGTACTTATACGTCCTGCAAAAACTGACTTTTATCTGGCTATTTCTCAACAGATCTAGAAATGCGGCAAAATTTTGTGTATGCATATTTGTGTTCTTCAGGTACTGAATGCTCGCATTTCTTATGATTTTTAAGTATTGTATTACATGTTCATTGCATTTTTTGTTTCGTTACACAAAATTCTGATTAAGATTTGTTTGTATTTGGTCACCTGTATGAACATGTTTAACATTAATTTTCCCACAGTCATACTAAAATTATTGGACATAAATGTAGGTGAAGAACCTAGTGAAAGTGAAGTGGAGCATCTGCTGCATGAAATTGAGAAGTATACGCTCCCAAATCATCTCTTTTGGGGCATTTGGGGAATAATTTCGGTATATTCACTTTCTCTCTCTATCATGAGTTGTTGTGATTATGATATAAACTTCTTGTTACCTTAGGATGTATGTGGCTTGAGTCCTTGGAGGATGGGGAGAAGTTAGTCAGTATATCTGGTGTATGTATTCTCACCAATACATAAGATTTTAGTAGATTTTTTACCAAAAGCATAAATCCTGTGTTTTAATTCATGGAAATCATGTCTACTTCACTGCTGTTACCGAACTATTATTCATCCATGTTTTTTTCATCTAGATAAATATATGGCACTTTTCAATTTTCAGTTCCCTCAATTATATCTTCCATTTTCATCCTTATTTTGGAATTTTATATGCAATCTACTCTCATTCAACTTCACCGTGCGCCTGTGGTCAGATTGTTAGGAAACTATTCTTTTCATTTGCTTTTAGATTTCAAATAAGCTGCCTTCTGTTACTTAAAGTCTTACGTACAATGATACAATACAGGATTTGTTACATAAGTTTGTTGTATATAAATATAGGAGATTTGAGTTCAGAAAATATTCTCTGTGTTTTCTCCAGGGACATGTAAACAAAATCGACTTTGACTACAAGGAGTATGCAACTCAGAGGTTTCAAGAATACTGGTCAAGGAAACCTTTTGTTTTGGGCTCTGTTGGTCCTTCTCCAGAAAGCGTGATTGACGATACCAGTATGTAACTAGATTTGAGGTTTTTGTTTTTTTTTCCTTGTATTGTTGCACTGTGAATAGATGGTTACTTGCAGAAAAAGATAAAATTTTGTGATGTTCATCGGCTGTGTTCTATTTTCTCAAAATATGTGATCAATGAGGTTCCTGGTTTTAACATGATGTGATCTCTCTAAAAGTAACTTCACATATGCATTTTCCTATTTGTATGGGTGTTTATGACATAATATACCGCATGTCGGTGTAAATAGGAGCTTGATTTTAACATTAATAGCCATAGCAAAGTAGGTGGCGACCCCCACTGTTAAATTGATCCTGTACCTTTTATCCTTGTGAGCTTTAGGGTAAGTTCTTCCTGTCTTGTTCACAGAAATGCTGCAATAGAATTGATGTTGTTGGAGTGGAACTGTGGAAGTAGTATTAATGAGAGTGAAGACTGAAAAGGTAATCAGTTAAAAAGGAGATTAGTGTGTATGTGTGTGGCTCCCATGGGTGCTTAGTGCTTGGATTCTTTAATAGAGCCACTTTATCTTATACGTACATAATCATTGCATTAATGGTGCATTGATGTTTTATAGGGTTTATGTATGATACGATGTTCTGTTTTGAGCTTTTCTTGTATTTCCTGGTATGAGGTTAACTTATCCGACGGCCAGATGTAAATTTTTATTCCATGTAAAAACGACCTATTAGATCTGATTTTCTGCACTTTTTTTCTAAAAAAATTTCAGAATATATAATTCCAAGTAGTATTTCACTAAATTATTGCAGGTACTGGTCAATAATCTCTTGCTTGAATTCTCTCTCTCTCTCTCTCTCTGTTTTTTTTAAAATTCTGACTAATATCTCGGCTTTTATCACGCATACATATATATCATCTCAGCTTTCAAGAAAACATAACTTCTGTTGCATTATTTTTCCAAAACAGTTTGGGTGTCTCTGTCTGAGAGATTTTTTTTTTAGCTGCAATAGATTATGTTCTGTAATTTACGAAAATGTGAGTTTACATTTATTCATTGTTGACAATTTTAATGAATGAATAGTTAAGAGGTTGTTTGATTAGTTAAGGAGTATCAAGACAAAAGCTATTTGGGAAAAATTTTGTCAGACAATTTGCATGGAGCTTTATAATAAGGACTATGAAAAAGGGTCTTATGATAACATCTCTACGCAAGTATCTCTACCAGAAGATTTCAATTTTTTTAGGCTACATCATGCAAAATTTCTTAAATTTATACCACATTCAGCTTTTAGTATAAGAATTAGTTGATTAATTTAAATATATTAAAAAAATTAGTTAAATTAGTTATTTGTAATAAATAGATGTTGTCTTCCTTAAAATATCCTTACTAATTATATGTATTAATTAGAATTATCATTTAATGAAATCTTTAACATGTGTAACTAATACAAGGATTACCTTAGAAAAAAATAAATAAATAAGAGATAAATTGGACTGGAGTCTTATATTTAGAACCAAATTAAATGACCCGAGGTAGCATCCTATATAAATAGCCTCCCTTATTAAACTTTGAAACTGTCATGAACCTATTTAAACTTTTACATGTATGCGACTAAGTCCCACACTTTGAGTTTCGATCTTAAATAAATAATAAATGATGTGAAGTTAAAGGGATTTATAAACGTATAACTCAAAGTTTGAGGAGTTTATATGTTGAAGGAGGTATAAAATTAATAGTTTAGAATTATCGACATAGACTTAAAACTTTAGGGAGGTCTTAAAAGTTAAGGAGGTTATTTATTTATTATTCTGAATTCAGGGAAGTTTCATGTAATTTAGCTTTCTTTTTTGTACAACCATTTGGCATTTGCTATTATTAAATTAAATTCGAGCATCATCAATCCAATTAAGAGCAATTCTGCCAATATGATTATTAGGCAATGAGAGCTTTTATATTTATGCTCTTTTGTATGAGTTGTTCATATTAGGGTTTTGGTTTTCATGGTTGTTGCAGTGGAGAAATTAATGAGTAAAGAAAGCACAGCCAAGGGCCACCATCATGGACATAGGCATCTGCACTCCAGAAGGTTGAGGAAATTTCTGAATCTGGCAATGTTTAGGTCCAAACACAAGCACTAACAGACAGTCTTTCACTCATTTGTGGGCTTCTCAGGCTTGTGCCTCAGCCTCTGTGCACAATTGAGACTATCCACACAGCAAGAAAGAAAGAAAGAAAGGCACATATTTGTTTGATTGTTTCCATAACCAAGTGTGTATATTCAACTGTCTAATTGGTTTATCATTTCATTAATTATTTAATTGACATGTAAATAGAAAAGAAAATCTAAAAAGATGAAACTTGTTACTGATTTTTTTTTTGTCAGTTATACATTGTCACTTGTAACTCAAAGACGCCAAACGCCTCTTGAATTTTTCTTAAGCGGGAGACTGTAAATTTAAATTTTCTGGGCATGCGAGTTTTGTCCCAAAAAACTCATTTATTGATACCTATGCATGTCAATGCATATACAATAAAATCTATATAACATGATCTATTATTCACAGGCAAATTGAGAGTAAAGGCATGATGACGTATTTAATAGCCTAAAGGACTTGGATATTTTTAACCAAAAACACTAGAAAAAAATAAGTTAAAATATAGAAAGTGGTGGGAAAGTGATTTAAGGGTTTATATTTTAAACATGAGTGAATGAATTGATCAAAAAAGTGGTTTGAGGATCTATAGTTTAAATCGGATCGGCTTGGATCAAATTGATAATAATTAAAATAATATTTAAATAAAAAAAGTTATGTATAAATTAGACATAGGGGCCACTTTTAAAAAGTACTTTAACGTAAATTGACACAAAACTCATCTCACATACTTATTTTATATATCGTAAAATCACTTTTAAAATCATAGTTTGATTTCTATCCAAACACCCTCATAATTCGACAAAATAAAATTAGTTAAGTATAAATATGATGGATTGCTAATTTTTCCCCCTAATTTTTAAACTCAAAACAATGCTCTTTTACACTAGGGAAATAAAAAATATATATAATCAGAAAATTCCCAAAAAAATGACTATTGAATTTTAAAATTTCAAATAAGAAATATCTACAAGAATGTATTGTTATTTACTTTTCGAGTATAGTCATTTTCTTTACGAGTGTAATAACTAATACTAATTTGAAATTTTAAAATTCAACAGTAATTTTTTAAAGGATTTTTTCATATATAATTCAAATTGATTAATTTGTCCAAAACTCTTCATCGAAAATCGGATTGACGAGGAGACTTTTTTTAGTTGGATGGAAACTATGGGTGTGTTTGGTAGGGTGTCTAGAGAGAGGGATGGGTAACACCTTACATCTATACAGCCGTAGGGTATTTTATTTAGCCTCGAACCTCTAAAAGCTAGATTTCATCCTAGAAAAAACAATTTTTTTAAAATTTTTTTCCTAAACACAGGGTTTGATTATGCTTATGTAATGTGATGTTCTAAAAATTCAAATTTTTCAAAGACTTACTTTCAAAGCAACTTATTTAGTGGTTCAAGTCCTTGATTTAACATTTTTTACAAAACTGGTATAATTAATTTAAGACTTGGATTTGCGTACAATACCAAAACCCATTTTCTTTCTATTTAGACATTTAGAACTTGTATCTAAGTAAATCTATAACTGTTGGGAGGGGTCCCCGCTACGGCGCCTGACAGTACCCTGAGAGATTAGTCTCTTACCGTTCGGGTGGGAGGATACTCTGGGCAACAAAAAAAAAGAAGTAAATCTATAACTTGCAGGGCTTAACATTCAATACTCTGATCACCGGCCCATTAAAAGAATAGATATACTTATACACACAGTCTTGGGCATAATAATAACTATATAATAGCAAATAGGCCATTTCTGTCAATGGTAGTTACCTGTAATTTATCTGCCCTCAGCCACCACTTTATAGAGGAATATTTACATATCAGAACACACACACACATTTGTATCTTCACTCCAAAATGGCAAAATATAAGAAGCATATTTAACCAAATACATAATAAATTCTCCGGCCTCCCTTACTTTCAAGCTCCTCCAATCACAGCTCCATTGTCCTTAGAAGTACCTGCTTTTGCTATATGATATGGAAGAAAAGAGTGAGATTCTAAAGAATCCTAGTGGTAATAGAAGTCCTTTATGTAATAATACAAGACCACAAACAAAGATGCTACCCAGGCTAGAGACCAACACCCTGCAACCAAATATAATTAATAATACAAAACCATCATACACTTGCATAGCCAATCGCTAACTATCATGCTCACATTCCAAAATAAATGGAAACCAACACTTATTGTCATGACAAATCATATCATGCAAAGACAATTTATATGTTCTCATGTACAATCAACATAATGGCATGTACAAGCATTTGACAATCAATGCACAATCATAAGAAAGGAAAAGAATTACTACTTTTTACTTTTTCTTCAATACTACTTTCCCCCTGTTTTCTCCTTGACTCTTTTCTTACAGAGCTTAGCAGATATCAAACCCTATAAATTATATAGGCAAGGGCAGATTAACATGTATGTGTGTGTATAGTACTAAAATAATACATTCATTATATCTTAAATTCCTTATAATTTATTTACTGGCTAATCAATTTCCCTTACTCTTCACAACTTTGTTTTCTTATCCTTACTTAATATTTGCAACAGCGGTGACATTTCCTCCACACTTCCCTGAAGTTCCGGCTTCATAAACATCTCTCCAATAATTATTCTAGTGTCTTAAATCTTGATTTAACCATCTCAAATCAGTATTTAACATTTAAATGCATTAAGGAATGAGTTCTAAATTAAGTTTAGCAACTTTTCCTAGTCCGTAAAATTTCCCAGATTTCAATTTCCTTGATTCCTTCACCACACGCACAAGCATTTGCACATGTATGTCAAATTCATAAGCATTGAGATATTCTCCCTTTCCTCTCATGCTTCACACGGTCTATCCTTCAATTCTGGACATCTCTGCCTTCAAAAATTATTCCATCATGGATGACGTTGTTTCAAGCATTTTTCTTGTACTTTAATACCCATTTCCATATTTGCATTAAATCACACACACACAACCACCCTCCCATAATCAGGAAAATATTTTTCCAGATTCCAAAACCATTTTTCTCCCAATCAAGATTCAATCTTCAGTGACTCATACGCCCTAGCATCCACAACTTTCCATTATTTAAATAATTTGAAATATGGTCACCAATAACAGCGCCAATTGCAAGTTTCAAATTTCATCTTCAGAAATTCATATCACATGCATAAAAGCCTCAGACCCTGTTTCAGTCATTCACAAAACCAGAGCAGAATAAGCAATTATTGCAACATCTACTTACTTAAAATCTCACATATATGTGTTGCATCTATCCATTCAAATCCCGCAGAGCTTGATGCCATATACCAGAACAGAGGTAAAGAGATTGAGTTTTGAAAGCATCACAAACAAAACCCAATAACACATGCAGCACCATAACTTGTTTAAACAAGCTTTAATCTACCCATAGATATCATAATCTTAGCTAGATCATTAGTTTTCCTCCAATTCATATCAGATTTCAGCAACCCAAAACTCCTAAAACCTTACTAAAATGGTGAAGGGTAGAAGAATGATTGAAAGACTTACCTTAACCAAGATTCAAGGTTGCATGCGACTCCCTCTCCGATCACCATCAAGCTTCTCGTTCTCCCTCAGCCTCTATCGCCCTCTCTCTCAAACTCTCCTCTGACTGCATCTCGAAATGAGGACGGGAGTAAGGCTTTGTTTGGTTCAATGGAGAGGAGGGGAGGGGAGATTTTTTGTTTGGTTCACAAGGGAAGAGAGGGGAGGGAATTATAAATTAACAAATATATCCTTATCTTTATATTTAGACTGATTTATTCTTTTATTACAATATTTATATCAAAATTATTATTTCTGAATTTATCAATTTAAAAAAAACCAATTACCTCACTTATATGTGATAAAAAAATATGAAATAAAAGTATAATATATATTAGAAAAATGAATGGGAGAAAAAAAGACAAGACCTTAACTATCTAATAATACCCTCCCCATATTAGGAAATAAAAAATATATATGATATTAACAGTGTCATTTTATAATTATAATATATATTAACATATATATATAATTAATATATTAACATATATGCATATTATATTTCTGTGTGTGTATAACTGAGCGACTGCGGAAGGGAATGCAAAAGTAATCGTGCGAAACCAAAAAAATATCAAGAGGGCACCACTAGAATATTCAAAAAATGGTATAGGCATATTTGTCAAGATTCTCATAATATTTCTCTTCCCTCCAAAAACCCCTAATTTGGGAGGGGAGGAGGGGAGCACAAAATGACAAATTTTTTTAACTCCCCTCTCCTCCCCTCCCCTCAAAAAAACCACAACCAAACAAAGCCTAAAGGATTTTTTTTTTTGGGTCGAGAGGATGGGAGTGAAGAATTAGATGGCTGAATGAATGAGAGAACACGTGTGAGGCTGAGCAACTCCCAATGGACCATTATGCCCTTCCAAACTTTTCTTGTTTTCAAGTTCATCCTTCTTTATTTTCTGAAATAATGAAATAATTACAGAATTTAATCCTTGATATTTTATATGAATTTTCTCCCTCCAATTTGCTTTCCTACCCATAAAATAATGTCTTTAAAAATATTGGGTCAAAAATTAACTCCTAGTTATTTTTCTTAAATTTTCCAATGAAATACGTTCTAAATTTTCAAAATTAACTTCATAATTATTTGGATCATATTTTAAGGGATTTAATCTTAATGATCCCTCCAAAATCTTTCCTTAATTATGCTTAATTAAATCCATAAAATTTGAGATGTTACACAATATGCACTGAAAACTGTGAAATGTGAACTAGTGAAAAATATAAATATAGAGAGATGTTTGAGATTTTTTTTTGGGCCAAGGAGAGATGTTTGAGTTGGCTCTCGATGATATGTACTTTTGATGGGTCAGAAGCCAAAATCTATAGCTTTTGCATTCCCAACATGGAGAGAACAATGAGAAGGGAAGAACCACCTTATTTTTAAATAAAAAAGATGAAATTATTTAAAAGGATCCATTAATTTTGGTCTCTTTATCTTTTTTTTTTTATATATAAGAAACAATCTTTCTAATGGTGGTGTCCCTATATATAGGAAATGAATCTTTTTTTAATGAAATTTTAAACTAGTCTTTCTACTTTTACACCCATTAAGAAACACATGCCACTGATTATTTTTTTGTAATAAACTTGTATTCATTATCGTTCATGTGCTCTTCTTATAAACAAGGGTATAATTGAAAATAGGCATGTATAACTTACACATTTATTTCTTTTAACCAAATGACTAAAATATATTTTTAGTTTTTTAATTTTATATAAGGCTTCAGTCTAGTCTCTCAATTTTAAAAAGTATAATTTTATGATTTTAGTTATTTAATTCTAAAATCATTAATAAAAAATAATGATATTGAGATCTTGAATGTTGATTAAAAAATTTTTAAATGCTAATATATTAAGTTTAATTTCTAAAATAACAATTATTACAAAAAATCATCATTTAAAACTAGTACTTTAAGGCTAAAGACTAAAAATATATTTTTTAAAGTTAAGAGATCAAATTAAAACATTGTATAAAGTTAAAAGACTAAATATACATTTTAGTGTAATTAAATTTAAATAACATTTTTAACACTATGATTTTAATAGTTGTTTCTGGGGGAGTGTGCTTGTTAAAATATCTTAAGTCTTATAAATAAATATTACTCCTATAATTTATACGTGTGGATATCCATCTTCTCTTTGTCTTCAACTTTAATAAGTAACTCTTATTACTATTATTATGCATTACTCTTTCACTATTCCTTTAATTTTATAACTTATTTCCTACTTATATTTATGTGATTTATGTCAATTTAAGTACAAGTAGTATAACCTATGTGTAAATGAATAGGGCATATTATTGTGTTGTGATGCAAGCAAAAATAAGTGACGAAATGCAATATAGTTCTCTCATCGTATTGTCTATATTTTTTTTCCTGCTTTAGTTTCTTTGTTGACTCATTTCATTATATTAAGAAGAATTATTTTAGTATTTACAATTTCTCCAATAATATATTTATTATTTTTTATTTGTCTAATTTTAATTTTAATATTTTTTAGATTATTACATTATATACACATAATATGTATGTGTGCTTGGATGTATTATTTAATAAAAACTTATGTTTTTTTAATTATTTTATATTTAAATTTACTTTTCAGTCATTCGTTCAGCCAAATTTTAACTTGTTAAACAGAATTTTTTTTAAAAAAATAAAAGTTAATCCTCTAGTTTTATTTATAAAACAATTTTAACTTGTTGCACACAAATCAAGAAAAATCTTAAACTGCATTAATTCTTCATTAAAATATAACAACTTTCTAACTTTATCTTCATTTAATATATACGCCTTTCAAAAAAATAACTATCCACAGTATAATAAATGAAGGACAAAATAGTACATTCATATTTAAAATTTAATGAAATGACTTATAAATAGGACTAAGAAAAACCTTCTCTCTCTGTCTCATAAATCAGACCAGAAGAGTAATTTAAATATAAACTATATTACACTAATTAACTTTTATCCTACTTTATGCTTATAAAAATTAGAAGAAATAAAAGCTAATTTTGTCAACGCCAAACCATATAAGTTGCTTAGATATGGAGGAGTTGTTATGGAGATTCGTAGAGACTAACTTTGTTGATGTTTTATTTGTTCGAATGTAAGGTAAGGCTGTTATCACAAGAAAAAGTGGCTTATATGATTATTAATTAATTAACTTTAAATTTTACTTTTATTGCAAATGTTTAAAGAAAAGGGAAAATTTGCTACAAATCCTCATTTGAAAAGTTAATTGTAAAATGAAATTTAACCTTAGATGGCAACAAGTTGGAGGGATAAAAAGATCAAATAACCTAAGTTGCATATCCTTGATTTTGAATTGCATATATTTGATCCTAATTGCATATTGTATATGTCTAGTTGTATATGAAATCTAATAGCATATCACTGATTCTAATTGCATATCCTTGATCTCAAGTTGCATATGCTAGATCATAATTGCATATTGATGATACGTAGTTACATGTAGGACCTAATTGCATATCAGTGATCCTAATTGCATGTTCTTGATTTCCAGTTGTATATGTTTGATCGCAATTGTATATTACATATACCTAGTTGCATATAAATCTAATTGCATATTATGATCTAATTGCATATTCTTTGATCCAGAGTTGCCTATATTTGATTCTAATTGCATATATCTAGTTACATATAGAATCTAATTACATATCATTGATTTTTAGTTGCACATGTTTGATCCTAATTACATTTTATTAAAAGTATTGTGGTAATTTTCTTTTCCTTTTTAATTCTACAAAAGGACTTCAAAAGTTCAGGTCCCATTCTGCAATTAATTTTTTCAAATAAGGATATATCCCGATTTTCCTAAACAAAATTACCGGTAAAAAAAAAAGTTTTAAAAAAAATTTAATTTCTTTGTCCCAGCTCCCAAGCATAAAAAATTTAGTTTCTAAGAAGAAAACCCCAACCAAGCGCAATCTCGTCTACAGGAGCTGATTTTTTTTTTGGTAGAAAACGAGGGCCCACACCCATTAAAACAACATCTCACTATCCAGGATCAGCACTTCCCTCTGCAACACTTTCATCAAGCCGAACTCTTCCACCTCGCAACCTGTCCGTCTCCTAAGTTTCTAAGGCTTGCAGAGGAACTTCTCTCCAGATCTGCACTTCCTCATTGATTCCAAAGCTTAACTTAGCCAAGACATCTGCACAAGTGTTCGCAGATCGCCTTATCCAGTAAACTTTAACTTCCCATCTTCTGTTCATCAACTCATAAATTTGAGCTTTCCTTCCAGGACGAACAAGCATTCCACTTAAGTCGAGCTCGCCGTCGGACGCCGTCCGCGGTTGTCAACCCTGCCTTGTTGTTCTCCGGCGAGTATAGTAGAAGGTTCGAACCCTAGGGCCCTGTCTTCTCCCGAAATCCAGTGAGATTAATATGTTCAATCTAGCTTTGAATCTATGTTTAAATTTGTTCCTCGCGTCATCTATTCCCTGCGTGGTTGTCAACCCTGTGTTGGGCTCTGTCGCACCTGTTTCAATCAAGATATGTGTCTGACAATTTAGTAGCTCTAGTTTAAATCATTTTCTGCTGCTTATTGGTCTGTGAATTTATAAGCTATTGACAGAAACAATCAATTGCGCTCCTTACCCACTCTAAGCAACACTTTTCATGATCATAAATTGCAAGTGTTATCATTGTCATTCTTCTGTGGCTTGGAGTTGTCTGAATCATGTGCTTACTAAGGCTTCTTCGTTAAAAAATCTGGGGGAAAAGATTAAAAGGGTATGATAACTACCATGCATTCTGTGTGTAACATAGGTCCGCCTGTGTGTAGATTTATTTTCGATGATCTCCTTAGTTTTATCTCCTCATAACCTTTGATCTCAAATTACTGTATCATAGGGGAGCCAAAGTGGGTGGACGTCAATGTAAGTGCTCCCTTCTTTTTACAGGCCATTAGCAAATATAATCTCTGCAAACAACTTGAAAATGATAATAGTTTAATTATTTATTTATTTATTAAGGGAGTTGGATTGAACTTGCTAGCAGCAGATTAGTTAACACATTTGATTGGGTTTACCAACCATGCATGTGATTCAATGCCATTTCTGTTTGGTATCGGTGATTTTGATGAAAAAGGTATCTGTTAACAAACGACAATGGATTGAGAAACAGAAAAAGAATTCACTGCTTTGTTAGAGTGAGTTTTATAATTGAAAGGGGAGCTCATCCATTTGTATGGATTGTAGAGCACAGGACCTTATCATTCTAAGAATTCAGCTTTTAAGATTTACAAAGAGCAGCCATAAAAGGCAAAACAAGTGCATTCTGATTTTTGCCACCAAAATCTAGAATTTTTTTTTAATTTATATTTTGCACAACTGCAAGTATTCAATTTGTTAGTTCTGCCCCTGTTGGGTTGTAAAATGCATGAGCTTTGTTCTATAATTGGTCTTGGTTGAAGGAGTGTAGACAATATGGAGATCGTGGAGCATATTGTTTTACCAGGATTTATGAATATAATTTCTCAGATTTGCTTAGATCTTTTATAATTTCGTGTAGATGATGGAAATTTGCTTTCTCTTTACTTGTAGGGGGCTTTTTCTTTCCATGGTTGGATGCTGCACAACTGAAATAGGTGTTTGCCAATTAGAAGGTGTTAGAGTGTCTTGAGAAACATGTTCAGACAAGCATTGGGCAAGGTTTGCAGCAAAAGTGTCTTTACTTATGAAGGGAATGGAGTTAGGCCTTGGATTTTTGTGCCCTTAAGTTATTTTCACAATGGAAAGGTAAATCCTCAAGCTCTAGTTGAATTCTTTAATTGCTTTTTTTTTTTTTTTGGGTGGTCTACTTCTTAGATTAAGTTTGGCTGTATAAAAATGCTCAGCGTTAGCCTTCTCTGTGAAACATTTAGTGGAATATGATTGGTTCAAACATACGAGTGTTGAAAGCAAATAATTATGAACACTTGCGGTGATGTCTGGGATTTGGTTGGGAAAGAGAAGGAAAGGAATCCACAGAAAAAAGAATGGAAGAGAAAACAAAAGTGAGAAGATGGTTAAATCAAGACTAGGAAAACTTCAAAATATGAAGGAGGGAGCCTTCGAAAGATTTTGGTATGTTAGCTGAAATTCCTTCATTATCTCACCTCCTTGTTAACAATGGAAAGGTTTGCATGAGACCTTCCCTCATTATTCCCTCATTTTTTATTAAGAAAAATAAAGAAACATAATACAAAAGCAGAAAAAGAAATAATAGTAGCTTGGCTATTGGCAAAAAATAGGAATTGAACCCTCACGTGGTGGATTAACAGCATATGCTTATGCTTAAATCAAAAGGTGTAATGTTTTTGAAATAAGACATTCGTTCCATATATAAACCATGGAATTAGATTGCATGGTATCATAAAGTTTACTAGAAGAATGTTGGATAGGTTTTTGGTTAGTACATAATAGATTCATATCTGGGAATCATATTAGTGACGGCCCCATTTATGTGTTTTTCTCTGGACACTATGAACACTAATCATTGCACCTTTCAGCTTTTTCTGTATTCATATCAAGTCCCTGATTTATGATAAAAAAATGAGATGTTGAGGTTTCATGAAGAAAAAGAAAGGAACAAGAGTTATTAAGATCAACTTTAATGCTCTGAACATATTCCCGTGATATAACTTAATGGTTAGGAGTTCTGACAAAATTTCATGTTATTTATTGTGATTGATTCAAATAGCCTTATATTGACAATTGAGTTTCATGAATAAAATTCTATTGAGCCAAAAAGTCAAGAGCAGTGAATGTGTGTCTGTTTGCATGTATATATGGAACACAAGAAAATGACTTCTATGCAACGTAGGGTGGGTTTTCTTTGATGGTTCTTCCGTCCTATATTCATTCTCAAACGGATTGATTTGATATCAATATTCCAGTTGGAACGCTTTGTTTTGCAACAATATTTCAGTTGTTATCTTATTTGTGAAGATTTTGCACATTCTGAAAGGTATTACTTCTCCAACATGAATTTCGTGCATTTTTATAACCTTTCATAAGGCTAATTTGTTGTCTAGTCCTTGTATACCATTAATAAGCAATGCTGCTCAGACAACCAAAGTGTTAACAATAAAAGACTTATATTAGCATGAATAATCACCTAAGGTTTTCCACACACACGCACGACATGTTTGTTATATTTTATTTTACCTTTTTCTTTTTCTTAAAGATGTGGCAGTGTTGACGTGCCCATGCTTCAGAGTTGACCTTGTTGTTGCTTATTTCTTGCTTTCTTGATTAACTGTTCATCATGAAACTAGTGCATTTAAAGAACACGGGTTGAAAGTAGTTGCTTGCCACTTGTAAAGAAGCAATTTGCCACTTTCTTTCATCCTTTGGTATCGTAAGTTTAAGTTGATTAGCTGTCCATCAGATCCAAAATTACAAGTAGAAAAAAACAGACATGTAAAATCAATAGCTCTCAATATACACACATATAGGACAGGAAAATTTCACATCTGACTGTCTTGGCAACCGATTTTTCTTTTACTTGGTTATTCTTCATAATACATGCCAATTTTCATCTAGCACAATGGTAATATCCAACAAACCATTCTTTATTGGAACAAATTTTTGTTATCTAGTCGAATTTGATGGTTTAGATCTCTGTTTTCTATGAATTTTGAAGAAATTATTCTTAATAGATATTGATCATCTGGATAAACTAAGCAATCGAAATTTATTGAAAATAATTATCATCCAATATTCTTCCCAGAATTGAAAGTATTCTTAGATCTCTTTGGGACGTTCTCGCTGATAGACTGTTCTAACTTCTTTAGCATGTGTTCTGTACAGGTTCATATGGCACCGCGAAGTTTTTTTGGTGTAGAGGATTTCCTTGATGATGACACCAGCCGACCTTACACTTATCAGAAAGAGAAGAAATCAAAGAATCCAACTAAGCATGTCTCATTCAAACAGAGAACAGTTGCCTATATGGAACCTTTCACACTTGATGTGTACATCTCAAAACGCTTTGTAACAGCTTCAATTACTCATAGGATGACAAGCAAACAAGTTGCAGTTGCGGGCACGAACTCTAAGGACATAAAAGCTGTCCTTCGGTCTCGTTCTGACATACCGGCCTGCTTGGCAGTTGGTCAAATTTTAGCTGAAAGGGCAAGAGAAGCTGACGTTTACACTGCTTGTTATACTCCAAGAGAGAGAGACAAGTTTGAAGGGAAAATTAGAGCTGTGGTTCAATCACTTATTGATAATGGAATTGATGTCAAAGTTTATCTCGACTGAGGTGGCGTATTAGATGAGTAAATATTATTAGTTAAGTTCGTGAAGTTGCTACTGCCAAGAAGCAAAAAGAAGTTCCTGATATTTTGGTTTACAGTGATCTCACCCTTTTTTATGTTCACTCATGTCAGTTTAGTCTGAAGTTAAATTTCAACTATGATAGTGATTTATCTTTTTTCCTGGACTGATTTTATAGTTGATTTTATTTAACAAATTTATTTAATTCATTCCAGTTTATGAAATTAAGAATGAAAGTAACCAAGGTTTGTTTCTAGTGTATAAAAAGGCGGGGAGTGTGTCAAATTCAAGAGGATGTGGTGTTGAGCTTGAAATATGATTGTTGCAGATCATGAAAAATTAACGCATTCCTTCTTGCTTCCCAATTTCCCATAGCAACCTAAGGCCCCTGTTGGGATGCTGTGTTGAATTTTGAGTGAATGCAAATTTGATTGAGATTAGGATTGGAAATGAAATCTTAAATATCAATTTTCAATCTACTTTGTGTGTGTTTGGAGCAGTGTTAAGAGGTCAAATATGCTTTGAAAACCGTAGAACGTATATTGCTAGCTTATTTGAAAGTTAGAATAATGCTTGGATTCAAAATGAAAACAAATGGGCTTTTGGGGAAAAATCACATTTAAGAAAAATCTCGAATTTTCTGCTTTTAGCTTCAACCAGTTAGCCAATGTGGAGAGAGGAAAGCAGAGGGGGAAAAAGAAATAATGTTCATGATATGAAAGAGAATGAAAATAAAATTACTCCGAGATACTCCTCCGGCCCTTAATATAAGATTCAATTGTTGAGTTGGTTTTGGTCCAAATATAAACTCCACTCGTTTTTTCTTTTAGTTCATTTTAAAAGGATTTTTGCAATTTTAATTATTTTATTTTTCAATCAAGCAAACACAAAAGAAAGACTTGATAATAATAAATAAAATGAAAAAAATTGGTATTATTTTGCTGAAAAAACATATGTAAGGGCAGAGAGGAAAAATATTTTTTCTTTTCATTTTCTCTCCATATAGAGAAAAGTTGGGAGGAAAATAGGTTGTGAAACCCACCACCTCATGTTTTCTCCAACTTTTCTTTCATATCCCACTTTTCTTCTCTCGTCCAAACACGAGAAAAACCTCTTCGCCTCCCATTTTTCTTTTTCATTTTTTCTCCGTCCAAACATAGCATTAATCTCAAGGGAGAAAACAGCGAGGGATTACTGCGGTTCCTTTTTTTTTTCCCCCAAAAAGCAAAGATTACATTAATTCTTTACTGCTTGTTTGGATTAATGTTGGCAAAAGTGAATTATTCTTATTCAGAACAACTTTTACAAATTAAAGTTGGGATAAAAACTAATTAGTATAATGTAATTTATATTTGAATAAGCTGTTAAGTTGCTATAAACTTATTTTCTATAAACTTGTATGAATTATATATTGAAAAGTAAGTTTGAAATTGTTCAAATTCAAAGAAAAGTACTCCCTCTATCCTTTTTTTTTTTTTTTTACAAGAAACAACTACCATTACTATCTTGTTCCTATTTATAAGAATCATTTGTTAGCTTTTTATTTTGCCCCCATAATTACTTATTTTAATAAATGTATTTTAGAGAAAAATTTACAATTTTTACATATTCATTGTTTTTAACAATTTTAACTAGCTTTTTAGTCAAAATAATTGGATCAATTACTTCTTATAAATAGCGACGGAGGGAGTAGCCTTTAGGCAAAAAAAAAAGAAAAAAGCCAATTGCCCTTGAAGTACCTTTTAGGTAGGGCTATATGTCTCGTCTTGGTCGTCTCGTCCTAATCGGACAGGACAAAATGGAAGCTGGGACAGGACGGGACGGCCTCATCCCGTTTCAAGATATATATTTATATATTTTTATTTTTTTAATAGATTATTTTTGTTTATCTATTTTAACAACACAAAAAATATAAATATTAAGTTTAAAGAAGTAAATAGAAGTCACGTGTTTGAATAAATTTTTTATTTTAATGTTTTTAAAAATGTAAATTAAACAAGTTTCAATCAATACAATATGATAATGCATTTTTGTCAACATATATTTAGACTTAATTAAAATCAAGGCTAATGGCCTCTACATATAATTTTTTTTTTTTGAGAAACTTCGAAACATAAAAAAGAAGAAGTAGAACAAGTATAAGTAAACGATTTTTACTTGTCAAAACTAAAAAAAAAAATAGCATGATTATTTTGGGAGTTAAATCAAATATTCAGTCTTATTATTTAATTACATGTTATTTAGATACTTAAAAACTATTTTTGGAAGAGAATAGAACTTTGGTTAATTACTTTTGGTAAGAAAAAGTCCAAAATCAAAATGATGATATGATTTTTTTTTTCATTGAAATTGTTGTTTAAAAAATGTCCCATAGGACATCCAATCTTGTCCAGTCTTGATTGGAATCAAGATAGCCTTGGAATGGGACAAGACATGGGACGGGTTGCCTCAGTCCCAGTCCCGATCCCAGTCTTTTCCCATTCCATTTTGTTTCATAAATACCCATACTTTAGGCAAGGGGAAAAAATCAATTGCTCCTGGAGTCTAATTTTTTCTCTAATTTAATTTTGAAGTGTTTTTCATGCCCAAAAGTCAGTTTGGCATGAACCTCATCTCAAACAAACCCAAAATCATCTAAGCATGAGGTTAGTGTCTCTAATAAATTCATTCATTATAGGATCATGTTTTATTCAATGGTGCTGGCTTTTGTTTTCTTTTCATGTATGGGCCTTTTAATTTGCTGGGGCTTTTTCTTCTAGTGTGTACGTTTTACTTTTAAGAAATAACTTTCTTTTATCAACAGGTGTTAGGTCTAGCAGAAACGATTAGTGTGTTGCAAACCAAAGTTTAAATCTCTTGTAAAAGAGGTGTTTACATTTATCATTCAACAGTGTCTCAAAAACCCTTTTTCATTGACCTAAAAATCCATTTGCCTCAATATTCTTGCATCTCTACATTGTAAACAACGTAATGATAATATTAGTTATAGGTGTAATGTTTAAAATGTTTCACGAATAGAAATGTAATGAGCTTCAAGAAATTGTGCACACTATCAGAACAAAACCTAGAGCAGAAAGGGATATGTTGCAGTGAAAGTAAGATGAAAAAAACATATGATCAATTAGATCGGGGATTCCTTGAAAAAACTCTCAGACTGATTGGTTTGCAAGAAAACATCATAAAAGTCATAATGGCTTGTGTTACGTCAGTTTCGATGAAACTTTTATGGAATGGAGAGGAAGGATCGTAGTTTAAGCCGACACATGGTGTGAGAAAAGGAGATCCACTTAGTCCATACTTTTTGTCCTGTGCATGGAAAGATTAAACCATCTCATTCAAGATGAATGCAAGAGAGGAAAGTGGAAACAAATAAAACTTACTGCAGACAATCTTTTGCTTTTTACTGAAGCCATGGTGAGACAAAAGGGAGTGGTTCTGGGGATGTTGAGTAAATTTTGTGGAGTTTCAGGTCACAAAGTCAGTTTGCAGAAATCTAAGGCTTTCTATTCTAAGAATGTCAATTTTCATCGGGAATTCGCCTTAAGTGAGCTGTTGGGAATTGGTGTCACCTCATATCTGAGAAAATACCTGGGGTCCCTCTCATCCATTCAAGAATCACCAAAGACACATTTGGGCATTAAATCGAAAGGTGAAGTCTAGACCGTCGTCTTGGAAGAGTAAATATCTTACCATGGCTAGAAGAACAATTCTTATCGAAAGTGTGATAGCTACTCTCCCCTCGTACCAAATGCAGTCTGCATTGATCCTAAAAGGAGTACCCCAGGAGATTGAGAAGATAAGCAGAAACTTTCTACGGTGTCAGGATGAGAATGCCAAGAAAATGCGTGTTTAATAGCTTGGAAAAAGATCACGACGAGGAAACAAGTAGGAGGTCTGGGCATTAAAAACCTCGAGAAACAAAATCATGCGTTCATTATGAAACTTTTTTGGGGTCTTGTAATGAAGCCACACGCTCTATGGGTTCAGGTGCTGAAATTAAAATATGAATGTGGGTCAGAAGTAATTCCAAGGTAATAAAGAGCAAGAGCTCCTCCCTCGTTTGGCAGGCCATAACTACAGCATGGAAAAGTTTATGCTAGTAGGGGGGAAAAAAGTGAATAATGGGATAACCATAAGATTATGGTGGGACCTGTGGACACCTCTTGATAAACCGCTCATTGAATATGCCTAGAATGTCCTTAGTCAGATTAATCCTGAAGCAAGAGTGGCAAACTTCACCCTTCCGGGTGGACTATGGAACTATACGTGTTGGAGACAATGGGTGGTTCAGACATTGATACAAATTAAACCTCCAACAGGCACACACAACCAGATGTCATATGCTAGTGTGAAGCTTCGAATGGGAGGTTTTCAGTAAAAGCAGCGTATAAATTCCTATCTAAGTCCAGGGATGGAGTGGGGAGGTTGATTTGGCGGAAAATATAGCGTTAGAAGCTACTCGAAAAAAATTAAATTCTTTTTATGGCAAATATCCCATGAAAGAATTATGACCAACTTCTTCAGAGCGAAGAGAAGACTCGTAAATTCAGGAGAGTGTCCTCTAGGGTGTTTGAGTGAGTAGAGTGTGTTATAGGTAACCAGAGACTGTGAGAAAGTGAAAAAACTACGGAAGGAATTTATTAAACCTAACATGTTTTTTGCCTTTTTCTCTTGCGTTTTGCAGGAATGGATGAAATAGAATGATACAAGGGAGCCCAGTAAGACATGATTTGCCAGCTGGTTGTGGCGCATCATATTTGGCCACGTATGTTGGTTGATCTGGAAACATCGGTGTAAGCAAGTATTCGGGGAAGGAGAGAGCACCCATAAAGAGATTATGCACCAATGCTTGTACCAACTGACGGAATATATGGAGGATGGGAAGCTATGACACAGGATTTTCCAAAGCGATACAGCCACTGATAATGATGGAAGCCTCTGCCACCAGATAAATTAAGACTGGACGTTGACGCTTCAGTGGGCATTCATAGGAAAGCTACACGTCGCGGTCTGGTCAGAGACTCAAGAGGACATTGAATCATTGGCTTTAAACAACAACTTGGAACGTACCCTGTAACGGTTATAGAGGTCCTGGCGATCAAAGCTGGGTTGGAAGTTTGCAAACGACAGAATTTTCAAGAGATTCTGGTTTATTCATGGAGGCAATTAATATTTTGATGAGGGATAACGGGTTAACCATCACTTCCGA